GAAAGCCTCAGCAGGGTACCCATGTACTGAGAAAGCCTCAGCAGGGTACCCATGTACTGGGAAAGCCTCAGCAGGGTACCCGATATGGGTACTTCGAAAATTTTCAGTAATTATACTGACGTAGGTGCTGCATTGGGTACCCATTGCAGTATGTTTACTGAAAAAGTACTTGCATTAGTACCCACACCTGTAATTTTGCTAGGAAAAGCTCTGCAGGGTACCCTAGATTTGTTGCGTTCTGTGTAGCAACTGTTCATTTACCGTTTTCTTTTGCATATACTGCTTCATATAAGCAACTCGAGGAAGCATAAGAAAAAAATATTTTTTCATACTAATTTTTTCTAGATTATTTTTCTTGACTATTTACTAGTCGAGGACATGCTGATCTCAATCGTAGATTGAGAGAGGACTACCTTGAAGTGGTCTGATGGAGATCCGACCAATTCGTGTCCGATCAGATCTCGAAATTTGACCTGCTTGGCTTTTCAGAATTAGAAAAATAAAATAAAATAAAATCGAGAAAATATCATAAATTACTTTGAGAGAAACAAAAATGAAAAAAAGCCAGAGGTTAGTTTCGATCATCAACATACTGCAAGTTTGGCAACAGAGCACCCAAAATTACTGAACAATAGTACCCAGTTGGGTACTTAATCAGTACCTTCAAGTACCCATTTACTGGATGCTTTCCACCAGGGTACTTGGTCGAGTACCTTATAGGTACCTAAAAGTACTTTAAGGTACTTCAGTACCCGAAAGTTCCTGTGACATACTAGTAGCAGGGTACTTTTTCGGGCACCCTTAGCTCAGTACATTCACTAGGGGTGCTTGTAAATGAAAAACCAAGACATTTATCTCAAAAGAAAAGAAAAAAGTTGTTTATTAATTTTCATTATTAGTTCATTGAAAATAAAATCCATCTAGAATCATAATTGATATTGTTTTCATTAAACATTCTCTTTCTATTCAATTTATTTTCCATTTAGTTGTTATTAATTGACGAAGAAAATACAAAATAAATAGTTAATTATATTAGGTTGGCGCATAAGTTCTGCACGTTTTTTTAAGCAAATGTAAGGCTTAGTATTTCGTGACTGGAAAACGATAGAGGTCTGAAATTTTTAGTATAGATAGAACTCATGAAGATCTACCTACAGTAAAAATTTCAGGCATTTATCGTTTTCCAGTCACGAAATACTAAGCCTTACATTTGCTTAAAAAAGCAAAAAAACGTGTAGAACTTATGCGCCAACTGGATATTTAATTCATGGAAATTTTGAACATAATATTGTTAATCATATAAAAAGAATTTTATCGTTAATATCTTCTATCTGTAATTATATCATTATTAATAATATCATTTATAAATCAACAACAAACAAGTGGTAAAAAAATAATATATTACTGTTGTTAAATAAAATGTTTATTTATTATGTATTCATTAAAAAAACAATTTAATGTTGTTAAACATCAGTGATTTTACACATGAGTTATATTATGAAAAAAAAAACAAAAAAAAATCTATTTCAATATCATTATAATAACATAAACGTTTTAAAATCATTTAAATCTTCTTTCTCTATATTTATATAAATAATGAATGTTAATTAATAAAAAAATTAATTCATGTCGAATATTAATTGATATTATTGATTATTTTTAAATTTATATACGAAATTCAGTAAGAAGATATGATTGAATATGAATCGATTTTGTTTAAGAACTAAATGAATACATTGCATTACATATTTATGTAATGAGAAATCATTTATTGAATAATGTAAGTCATATAAACAATGATGAAATAAACATTAATATTCATTTTTATCTTTATCGCAATATATTCTAAAGTTCAAATTTCATTTGTTATTTGTTTATAATTATTTAAATGACGTTCATAATTAGATTCATCAACTTGATCTCGATTCTAAGAATTAATTTTAGTCAATTATCTTCAATATGAAATTCTACTGGAAAATGAAGACATCAAAATTTTCTTTTTCTTTTTTGTTTTTGTTTTGTCTTGACTTGATATTTATTGATTGATTAATAAATATTCAAAAAACTTTAATGAATTCAATTTTTTGATCATGTTTAATTATTTAACAACATCATATTAGTAATAAATGTTAATATTTTTCAATTATTCCTATAGGAAAATTTTAAATATTCGTCAACACATTCTATAAACTAGAACTTTTCTATGTAAAAAATAGAAAGTTTCACGTACACATTTGAATATGATTTCATATTGGATGAATGATATTCAGTATCGCACGGTATATTTGATGTTGGACAATAACATTTCTTCGTTGAGAATAGAATTATGTTTGAATAGGAAGTATTTATCTTCCACTGACGTATGTTTTGCAGACTTGAATAAATGTCATCGTTGGTAATATTGTTTAATCGACATCACATAAATTCTGAAAGCTATATATATGGGTGAATCGTATTCCATTTGTACAAGTGGAATGAAAAAAAATCGAAAAAAAAGAAAGTGCTCGTATAAAAAAAAACTAGCTATATATTTTGATAGAGCATCAATGAAAATCTAGAAAAAACTTGTTTTCTCTACACTTTGCTCAAAAATAAGGTCGTCGTTGCAATACCATGAAAATGTATACATATATACATATCTGCATTTTCACGGTATTCGATCAAACTATTTTGTAATTCTTAACAGAATGGAACAAATCATGCATCAATCGTTGCAGCTGGATTAGATTTATCGAACGTTTTGTGGTTGAACGTCGGAATAAATATAGCCCATGAAGAAACTCGCGAAAAATCATACAATATATTAGTGAAAAATTGGTTATGTATAAAGCGGAGTACATCTATAGTTTTTTTTTCATGCAGCAATACTTCACTCTGTAAGGTATACCATTAGATCAGCCTACCGATGACGAATCGAATGCTGTATAATAAGTTCATAATTAACATTCGTTTGACTGAGATATTCAACTTTTTACATGACGGGACATTTTTCATGAAAAAAATATGACGGAACAGTTCATATATGATTTGCCATTATCTCCATCATAGAACATGACAAAGAGCTGATTTTTTCACTACAAATAGGAAACACAGAGAGAAAAGAAAGGTGTGAATTTTCACGCAAAATGGTCAACATCATAAAGAGATATTTAAATCATAAAATTCAAAATATGACGGGACAAATTGAGTATATATGTGATTTTTTCAAAATTTGTCCGTCCATAGCCATTCAAGGTCTCTATACAGCCTAGAATTTATTTTCAGAAAAGTTGTTCCTACCAATCATCTTTATTTTAAAGCCGCTCCCAGTTGGCCAACATATTTTCGTCCAGAGAAAATCATATTTTGAGATGACGGGACAAAAAAAGACAAAATGTCTGTCAAGTCGGTATTTTGCGTATATTTATTAAAGATAATTTTTTTAAAGAAAACTAAAGTCAGATTCTGATTCTCTGCACTTTTTTCTACCTAACTGTACTGAAGAAAGTGCGAGCTTAAACTTTTCGTATTTGAAAAATTATTTTGTCTTTGTCGAGAGATGGCCCCAATTTTTGCTTTTTTTTCACTTCCAACAGGCGTAATCCGAGATAGGAGTGACGTAGACTGCTCAAAATTTCAGAAGTGTAGGAAGCCACTGAGATGAGTATTGTGTAAAATTTTCAAGTCATTCGGCACTTTCGAATAAGAGATATTCATGATTTAGTACTGAAGATGCAATTGTACAAATGAAATACGATTCGCCCATATATATACTTGGATAAATCCAATAGATCGAATGCGTGAAATCGTGACGAGATTATACATGTTGTATATAATTGAAACCTATCAATAATATTTCATGCCGATTGAATCAGTAATATCTTACATGGGACTATTTTCTATGTAATATATATCAGGTGTAAGTGTTGGTGTATGCCACCACACCCTGTTTCTTCAAGCACAGCTATACCCACCAATCATTTTAAAGTTCCATTACTACAAAGTCGCTTTGCAATATGAGACAGAATAAGAAAATTTGTTTAAAATCTCTCAAAAATAGCTGGGCACGACACCCTCCTTGTCCTTACACATTCTATCATAATTCGATGCGTACTCGACATACCACAGTGCAAAAAAATGCGATAAACCACGGTTTCCTCGAGTAACACCGCAACGGAATTCAAAAACCTGCGTTGTACAGATGTTTTTGTGAAAAACTTTTTCCGTGGGTATTGAAGAAACTATATCGAATGATAATAATTCATCGATTATAATAATTTATCATCGTTTTAATGATCAAATTAAAGAAAATCCATAGATGAAATTCTGATATGTGATACTGGAAAATGAAATAATAGTAATAATAATCATGATAATGATATTGATATGAAAGAGAATATTTTAGATATTGAAGATTATGATGAGAAAATTTTACGTGAACAAACAAATTGTTGTATGAAAGAAGTTGAAAAAGCTATACAAAGAAAAAACAAGAATGGAATGAACGTGAACAATGTTTATCAGGAAATATAGAAGATAATAATAGTAATGAAGATATTTAAGAAAAATTTATTGATAATAATCAATCATTTAAAAACCATCGTCAACAACAAATACAATATCAATGTTAGATGAAGTTAAACATACATTTGTATGTAAATTTTTAAAAAATTAAATATTCATGAAGATGCATTTGGAAAGAATGAAGAAGAGACTTTTGATAACGATGAATAAAGGTTGTTATGATCAATTGGAATTGGAATTTATATGCTTTTATTTTGGTTTATGAAACAAATAAGATGTATCTAAACCGAATGATTTTTCATGACAAATCTATCAAACATCAAAGAGTCAAACTATGTATGAGATTGTTAAGAACTTTCAAATATTGCATTTTTGATCAATTTATTCGGTCAAATAGAAGCAAATGCAAGAATAATAAACATAGATGAAAAAATGATTATAGTTTCTATTTGAATATACTGAAAAAATGTACAGTAATGAATTTATTTTTGTGTATCTTTCGCGAACAAGATAGTCTTTGTAAATATTCTCTAGCATTGATTTTTACATTACCGAATCGAGTTCAAGATGTTGAGGAATATATTTTCTGATTACTTTTTTCATTGCGCATTTGAACAAAATGATTCCGGTTCCAGAACGAAATTTTTTTATTGCACCTAGGACGAAAGCATTTTTCACCGGGATCGAGACTGGACTTCTTTTATTCCCACCAGAACCGGGATCTAATATTCTTTTTACGAGAACCGAGACTAAACTTTTACAATCACTGAAACTGAAGTTAAAATATTTTTTTGCTCGGAGCGAAACTGAACTTTTTCTTCCATCAGGCTCAAGATCAAGGCTAACATTTTTTCATTGTGAGTGATATCTTTTACGCTCGTGTGAAGTTTGCATCAAATGTTGTTTATTCGAAAATTATTGAGTAATGATCGAAGACGATGGATATTAAAAGTCGTGCAAGAAGCCTGAAATTTATTGATACTGCAACAATATGATATCGAATGCTTCACTAGTACTAAATATCAAAGCAGAATTAATATTTGTTTTTGATCGGGATCAAAAATGGTTGGTCTTGTTCATCAATAGTGTTTATGTGAATGAATAGAAGGTTCACACCAACACCTACGCTCGCATCATTTTGTACATTCCATATTTTGTTGCTTAACATTTTTCATGAATATCAACGAAAACCATCGCTAGGCATTGGCATATCTGTGTCTTACAATCTATCTATCTATATCTATATATATATATATATGTAATTTATTTGATTTTAGATGAACCAAAAGTAGACTTTTAAAAAAAGAGCAAAGTAATTGAGCAGATAATGTTGAAAATAAACAGTCTTTTCAATACATTTCCTTTCCGTACAACAACATTAACTGCTTTTTTTAATTTTATTGGTTACCAATAATATATAATATTTTTTGATCAACATATTAAAATACATTTGCATTTGTTGATTCACCATAAGCATTTGAAAAAGAATGTGAGTGTGGATATGTCGCATATCTACACCTACAATTCGAGCCACACCCATGTCCCTTGTTGAAAACTAGCTTATCACTTTTAATTATCTCGAATAAAAGATGGAGATCAAATCACCATTTTGCAGAACTTATTGAAGATTCAAAAATTTTTTTTATCATCTCTCTGAAAACGTTTGAACGAGTTTCTCATGACTCGACGTTCTTTAGATCATCGTAATAGAAAGTACAATTTTTGTTACAGCGAAAAATACGCAAATTATGGATACCAAATGGGTACTGGGTCAATATCAATATGAACACGAAACTTATGAATTTTTAAGTTCGAATCTTAATCAATTAATGAAAAAAAAAAAACTTTCTTTTGATTTCAATGAGAGAATGCGAAAATAGAAGAAACTGACGAGTCAATGCATATCACATCTATACCCTTTATTCAAATTTAATTCAAATAAAGAATTGTCGAAGTCAAAAGCTGATTTTATTCGAAAACCAAACTTAAATTATTGTCCAAGGTTCACATATTCTATGAGATTTTTCAATAAATTCTATTTCATACGATTATATTCAAATATATTTATTTCACTTTGGTCTCTGATTATAAAATAATATTGAAATCAATTTTAAAATTGAATAGAATTGTTGAAAGTTCTGAAGACTAGAAAAAAAAAACTTTTATAAGAAATAAAAATGTTTAAAAGAATGAAAAGAGGTTACAGTGAGGACCGAAAAAAGCCTGGTCCTTTTTATTTTTGCACATAAGCGAATAATAAGGGTATTTGGAAATTTTTCTCTCATATCAGACTTTGTAGAGCTTTTTTCGCTGATCATTTTGATAAAAAACTTTTTTGATTTTCATTGAGAAATGACGATATAATAGTCAAAATATTAAACACTGTAATATATAATGAGAGAAAAAAGTTGAGCACACTTTTAGTATTTGGCTAGTTTTTACGTTATTTCATAACAGCTGAAAGCTGTTCTATATACCATTCGATACAGAATTTAATGGGCTACATTCTAGTAACAAGTCTTATATTTATATTGTAGATAATTAATTAATTATTAGTTAATTAATAGTTAATAACAATTAGCACTTAATTAATAAAATCTCGATTTACTTTTAAATTCCATCTCTTTCATATGAAGGAGCATAAAAAACTGAACAAAACTCTATAATTAATATTTGGAAAGCGACGAATTTAGTGCGGGTTTAGTGTAATTTTCAGAGTATGTTCCATTGTAACTAGACATAGTATTCATTATTTTTAATAAATTCAATCATGAAACGACGCATGAAATGCGCGGAAACTTGTGCATTTTAAAAAGCATCATTTGCTCTTTCAAATAACATGTCGCTGCTTTCTCTGCAATATTCCATACAAATGTTACAATGTCTGTTGAAATATAGAATGCAAAATAATAGAATAATGGCAGGAAAGTATAGCTTGAATTAGTTCTTACAACTAAAGACATTGTATCTGTGTGAAGCTACCACAACACGATCATTGAGCACGACCAGTAGAATATTATGACACGTCAAAATGAAAACCAATTAGAAAGCGATAAATAGAAAACATATCTACCGAGAACGCATCTGATTGGTTCATTACTAACCAATCATATTTTAGCATGTATTGATGCCCCTGAGTCTTCTCTTTCTAATGGCGAAAACCGCACCTCTCTATCTTGTTCCTATTAAAAGTTATTCAAAAAATACCCACGGGCATTTTATTTTGAAACGGACAGTAGTATGTCTAGTATGTTGACAAATAGGGATGAATAATCCACTCATTATCAAATAGTGAATGTAGTAATGCACTTGGAGGAGCTAAATCTTGTTACTTTTTCCAGTGTTCTCCTTAACACCAATTGTTTTTGCATGTGAGCTAGTTCTTCCAACGAAGTCAGATTTTTGGGCCTAAGTTTTATTTCTGAGAAAATCGTCTTTGATGTTGACTAATAGCAAATAACACAAGATTCAAATCAATGAGAAGGTCATATTATATGAATCACATATAAAAGGTCTAGATTGGTCATCTTGCATCGATTATTTCAACATTTAGAGACTTTTTTTGAAAAGATGAATAGTACAGTTCGATATAAAATAATTTTCTCTATCAAGTGGTATCAAATAAAACTTGGACCTCGTCAAAAATTCCCGAGGGCGCCACACATAGTGCATTTGATATTGATTCGCTTAACATATTCCTCTTTTTGTGCTCTGACAGTGGACTATACATATCATATTTTCATATCGCGGTCACACATTCTATTCTTCATTGACAGAAAAGAGCAGACGAAAAAAAGATAACGAACAATATATAAATTAACAATTTTTTAGAAAAGTGACAGTTATCAGCAACTATGAATCAGTTCGATACTGATCTTCTTGATCTTCCCAATGAAATATTACTTATCATCTTAAAAAAGCTTGACAATATTGATGTATTGTATTCATTATTTGGAATTAATAATCATCAAATCGAAATTTTGCTACAAGATGATATATTTACTAATACTCTTAATCTTGTAACGACATCATCAATTACTGATTTAAAATTTGAACGATTTTGTAATTATATTTTACCTCGAAGTCATCATTGTATAAAAAAACTCATTCTCGAAACATCATCAATGGAACGTATTCTTCTTGCTGGTAATTATCCAAATCTGACTTCTCTAGAGCTGTTCAATTTCACACAAGAGAATGTTTTTTATTTTACAGGTAAATACTTAACATACTCTAAAGTATGCAATATACAAATAAAGCACTGATTTTTTGTTTAGATAACTCAATCTTTAAACATATATTTCAATCTCACATAACAGATCTTATTCTTCATAATAATGATGAATATTTACAAAACATACAATTGTATATTTATACAAGAGATGTTTATGCACATATCTTTTCTCTTTTCAAAAAATTAAAACATTTGACAATTGTTTCCGCTTCTCCGAATGATTATCCATGTTTCTCACTTTCTAGTCTACCACTAACTACTTGTTACTCCTCGACTCTTACTGTATTACGTATTAGTGTGTTGCAATTTCCGGATTGTCTCTGTTTACTTGATGGTCGACTCAAACAACTACACACATTCATCGTTAAAATTGAGTATATCTTCAGTACGACTTCGATCCATCTCAATAAGGTGAGTTCATATTATATTGTTGTTAGAAGTTAATTTATAATTTTGACGATGATATGATTGATGTTAATGTTTATTTAAACATCTTATGAATATTATAATAGAATAGTAAATAGAATTTCATAGTTAAATGACTACTGTTAAACCATTAGAAAGAAATAGATCTTTGATTTTTCTATTATTCGAAAACGATGGTCTCATATTTTAATTTTTTTCAATTTATTTTCAAATATTTAAATAAGAAATTGGATAACTGAGTTGCTTTATAATAATTATATAAACTAATCTATTTTGTTCTCAAGTAGAAAACAAAAAGTTTTTCCTTAAGCTCGAAAAGAAAATTTGTGAAATTTATCGGCATTATATGGTTGTCTTCTACTTGTTCACAGCAAATATTCGGTCATCGTAATAGAAGAAGAACAAATAATATGTACTAAGGAAATCAGTTCTATTGAAAACTAGAAAAGTATAAACAATGATATCATCCAATTGTATAAAACTGATTGACAACATATCGATGAAAATATTTTCAAGAAAATTTTTCTGTTAATATCGAATGTCTCAAAATATGATAGTTATACTTTAGAAAGAAGAATAATTTTAAGGATATATCATGAGGGAAATCTGAATTTGGTCGAAAGAAAATTAAGGATGGAAGACGATAGTATTCGAGTGAGAATGAGAATGAGAATATAGGAGGTCATCAGTCTCATTTTTTGTTTCTACCAATCAATGTATGTCTTATTGTTGTTGTTTATATTTTCACTTGCGACTTTTTTCAACTGATTCTCTTCATGCCGATTCGGACATCTATTTATATTCAGCTGTTAAAGTTACTTCTAATCTTTTGAAAATCTTACGTTGATGGGGTTGTTGTTTTGAGAACCAGTTTCTAGAAAATATCTATTTTAAATGTACAAAAAGTTTAATACTATATATTCAGAGACAAAACCGGCCAGATTTTTTTGTAGCCGGTTCGGTGTGACCAGAGTTCGGCAAGTTCATTTTCGAAGCAAAACTGACGAAAATCTCGCAAAAAAACAAGAAAATATAAAAGAAGCTTGTTGAAGTAAGATGCTGACTAAAGTAAAATTTTCAAGATTTACACGTCGCAATTTTGAGTGGCATCACCGAATATATGGAAAAAACTAGCTTTACATATAAAATCGCAAAGTATCGACTTTCTAAACTATGTTCAATGTTAAGCTGATTAGACCAACATTGCTTATTCGTCGTTATTCAAAAGGACTGAAAAAGGCAAGCTCAGTCATAACTGTCTCGAAAAATACATTTTTTTCTACATTAAATGAATCATTAAAATAGCTGAAGATAAACGAATTAGTTTCATATAAGACAGACTGAACTTCGTGAGAGAGTAAAGGTTAATTAAAAAAGTGTTTCACTCGTGAACATTGTTGCTCGTACGAAAATATCAATTTTGACCAATATTTCGAGTTCCATGCTACTACGATTTCTCGAGTTGGTTTCTCTATGTTCCAAAGAAAATCAAGTTGTTGAAAACTTCGGACGACTTTAACTGAAATACGAGTGCAAGGAACATGTCAGAATATATTGCAACCGACTGATTCGCAGGACTTTCCATCACTTCGTGATTGCTGTAGCAGCCGAAGTAATCAAAAATAAACTTTCTTCTCTTAAAGTTGTGTCTTTGCCTAATTAGGACGATTATCACATTCGATATGTTATTCTCATTGCACGTAAATAATTCTGTTGAAGAGTAACAAGCCTCCTAATTCTTTCTATCTATTTCTCGTTTGGATTACTGTATTAACCAGTTTTTCGCTTAGTAATGAAAAAAAGACTCGCTTTTCATTGAAAAATCATTGAATACAATAGAAAATTTTACAATGACGAACTAGCAAAAATCCAGTTGTTTCTGATCGAATTGCCTAACCACTTGTAACTCTGAGTTTACTATTCATTTGAGATATTATTCCATATTCTATATGAGGTGTAATACAAGAGAGTTGAAAATAAGTAATGCTTTTACGATCAGTTTTTTTCCACAGAAATTATTTATGTTAGTTAATCAGTTGAATATATTTTACAAAGATAATATTTTTGTATTTTATAGGATGAATTACATAATTTGAAATGTTTTTCATTAGTAAGTTATGATGTTACTATGAATTATGACGATTTGGTGGTACCTCTTCTTCGTCGTATGACGCATCTCGAAAAGTTAACTTTGTATCTTCGTATCCTTCATCGAAATGCATTCATTGATGGCACACACCTTCAGAATGAAATTCTTGATTATATGCCTCAACTTCATACATTCAAATTTTATATTAGTACACAAGAAAGCATTTTTTCTTCATTTCCTCGTAAATCTAATTCAGATATTGAACGAACATTAACAAATATAAAATATGGACAAATGGCTTCTATTATAGATTCTTACAGCGGCGGCCTTGAGGCCATATGTCATATTTACTCGCTTCCATTTACATTCAGTCGTCTGGGAATTATTACGACTCATTTTCCAATGATTGTGTTTGATACGGTAACTCATTTGTCTGCCTATGATATGATTCCAATGGAACATGAATTCTTTATACGTATTAGTCAGACATTTCCAATGCTTAAATATTTTTCTATACAGAATGACAGGCCCCTGTCATTCGAACGTAATGAATGGGAATCTGATAAGAACGTATCTTATTCAATTATTGAATTTCCTCATCTTATATCACTTGATGTTACGTGTGCGAATATAGATTATATTGCGCAATTTCTACTCGAAACAAAGACACATCTACCTTGTCTAACTGAGTTGAAAGTTAATTATTATCGATTGCAAAAAGTAACAATGAATTTTACAAGAGACACAACACGAAAGAATTGTTGTAAAATAAATCGATTATTTGTCAACGTATCAATAGTCTTTTCAAAAGATGTTATGGAATATTTTCCTTCATTGTAAATTCAATTCTATCTTTTTGAATTTCAATAAAAATAAGTTACGCAGAAACTCTAATATTATAATACAATAAAATATTAAGAAATATGAATTGTTCATAGTCTAAATATTGAATTGTAACTAGGGATATGTGGAACTGAGTTTTTCTAGTTTCGATGCCTTTTTATCTTTTAGACTGAATAATGATTATTTGTGCTTTTTGTTCCCGATTACAATCCAGTTGAAACTTTTTTGGTTGCGATGCCAGTCCAAGTCGCTACTTTTTTTTCTAGTCTCGTCTGGAGTGAAGTTCTTTAGAGGTTATTCATTTTTACTATTAGAAATTGTTTTTTTGTTGACATATAATTTGGAAGAAAAATTTTCATTTTGTTATGAGAAATACAAGATTTATCTTTTTTGAAGATGGTGATACCACATTTTCGTGGACGAAGCTTGCACGCATCAGTGATCTTAAAAGGAAAAATGAGGGTAAGATCGAAAATGAGTTTCAGGATGAAAGTTATGATGAAGACGAGATTGAGAATAAGATATTTTCGACGGATATGTATTATGCGGGAACGTCGGTAAGCCTTTCGTTCCAATGTAGAACTTTCAGAAGTTCAAGTAGTAGAACATTTTTCCTTCGACATTTTTCTAGATTATAGAGGCGCTTCCATGAAAATCTTTCATATTGGAATTTGGCTTTGGAATACTAAATTATGCAATCAACAAATACTATTGTCTAATTTTCATAACTTGAACTTCCCAAATTTTCATTTGTTCAAGGGATGTACACTCCATGGTCACGTATAGCCAGTGATCGGTTCCAATCTACAGCGTGTTACAGAACCTTTACGCTTCCCCTCTGCAACTTATCGAATAAATGATATAACCAAACATTTTATACCAATCGATAGAGCTCATCGAGCTCTACAAAAGCATATGCATGAAAAATTTTTGGGACTTCTTTTCTGAAATAAAAAATTCAAAGCACTATTTGGGAAGTCTCGAAAAATGTTTAAAAAATTCTCTGCTTTTTGAATGGAAGAAAAATGCCTGATTTTTCAATAAAGAGAGCTTTTTAATTTATTTTATTACTTTAGCCGTCCCGAAATCTACTCATCAGATGCAATTTTTCACGCTGTATCGTACGAGTACATTTCGAGACGTCTGTGGTAGTAAAAAGGATAAAAAACTATTATTGAAAAATCAGGCATTTTTCCTCCACTTGAAAGCGAAGAATTTTCTAAACATTTTTCGAGATTTCTCGAGTAGTTTTTTGAACTTTTTATCTCAGAAAAGAGGCCTCGAAAATTTTTCATATATACGCTTTTCTAGAGGCCGATGAACTCAATCGATTGGTATAAAATGCTTGGTTATATCATTTTTCCGATAAGTTGTAGAGAAGGGCATAAAGGTTTTGTAACACCCTGCATTCAGGATGAACTAAAGTTTTATTCATTTCTAATAAAAATTTGGGCAAGTATTTTTTTTTGAATATTTTTTTACAGAAAGAGAATAAAGAGCTGGAGTTTTAATCGTTGAAAAGAGGAGATGAAGATGCATTGAATCATACATTATAGTTTTTTGTGAGTTATTTTCTAAATTTTATGAGTAAAATTTCTAAAAAAAAAACAACATCCAAAGAAAAATGGTTTCTTACAAAGTAAGAGAAAATACCAAAAAGTTATTCTTTTTTTTCACAGGAATTGATAGAAAAACCGACCTAGATTTTTGACTAGAATATCTGTAACTCTTGAACCATTAGATCTAAAGATTTGAGTATTGCATAGCTTTCTAGATTTTTTTTTTATAGGAACAACTTTTTCTTTCTGAATTACAGGCATTATTTTCGCAAGTATCCAGTGAAAAATGACAGATTATAATCGGATTTTTATGCAACAAAATCAAAATTATAATCGGATTTTTATGCAACAAAATCAAAATTATAATCAATTAAAATCTTCTAAATAAAAAAAAGTTTGATTTTAATCAAAATTAATTAATTATAATTGATTATTTTTGATTTTGTCGCACAAAAATCCGATTATAATCTGTCGTTTTTCACTGGGTGCCTTACACAAGAATTGATAATATTAGTCTTCAAAATAAACAATTTTTACCGATTAGTGAATCATCATATTTTCGTAATGATTTCCAATCGAAAGGGTGATATCAAATTTCTCTTGATGCGTGTCATGTATATTAATGATATTTTCATCATTCATCAATAAATATAACAATCATTCAAAAAAGTTAATCAACTTATATATGATGAGCACAACTCTAATTTTGAGATTATAAAAAAAGACTTCTGTGTTTAAATACTGAAAAAAAGATTTTTTTTTGTTGGATGCAGGACTTTGTTGTCTTGTAATGTAAAACTTGTTTAAGACTTATTGTTATATTTCTTTACATTAATGAAATATTGAAAATTCAATGCAACAAAAAAATGTGATTTCTCGCATTTAGACGAGTCAAATTCATTTTTAACATTGATTTTCTTTAATAGACACATTAAAAAAATATAATGAAAAGACGGATCGAACATTCCGAAAGAAAACAATATCAATGACAACTCATAAATCAATATGTTGAAGAGAATGTCATGAATGTGTTGTTTACTTCATTAACCTCTTTTTGTTTCGATTGGTATTGACTACGAGCAAGATCTGTACGTTCATCCACTAGTTGAATAAGAATTTGTTCTAGTTTTGTTTTTGTTCAAGACTAAGATTCAATCATTCTATGAGTATGAAACATTATATTATTAGGAGTACTTCCAAAGAAGAAACTATCTAGGAGGATCATATATGAAAAATCTAGAACATTTATTCAATTTTTTTACACACGAATAGAACATAGGCAAAACAAAACAAATGAAAAAGAATATTCAAACGAAATATAGTTCTACACAACAGAGTCTTCACTATACACGTTGAGAAAGTAACACGACGACAACGATCAACACATCTCTGTACAAAAATAGTCAAAATATGAAAAATGAACGAACACAAAAAAACGACTTGTTCAGAAGCAACTAGACACAAAAGAATAGATGGATCTAAAAAGTCATCATCATTTTTCATTTCTCTCTTAATACATAGCTTTTAAATTTCTGATAAAGAAACAGGATCACAAAGCATTCAACATAATTGTTGTGGTATCCGGATCTGAGGAATGTTGTCACTATCGAGTGAGCACATGATAACACACCATACATAATTACACCATGAATCAGTTACATTCGGAGATTCTCCATCAAAATATATAATCACCTAATGTGTGATGTTCTGTGTACACAAAGTGCTCTCACTATCTTACTATTCATTCTACACTTACATAGATTTATCATTATCAAATCATGATTAAGAAACGCCTCTCTCGCCCGACTCTGAATGACAATAAAACAGAGATCGGATGAACAAGTATACAGAAATACGATGATCTGACTAGGAAATGAAAGAAAACAAGTAACTAACCAAAGGGATAACTCAACTTGCACATAAGTAGTACACGAAAAAAAATAACTGAATTCCAGATTCTAACTCTACGAATATCTAAAGCACCCAGTAAATGAACGATTGATATTAAGATCAACACTTGCACTCTCAACTGATGTACAACAAATCCTCATCTATGAATCTCCAATGAAACGTTATGTGGCATCATCTAACTTCCGCTCTCTCGATAAATTGCAACCTTAGTGAATTTCAAGATCAACATGCCCCATCTCCTCGGCAAAACCATTCTGAAGGTCAAAAAGCAATTGCTGATTACTAATAGGTATCTGCGTAACTCCTTCGCTCTCATAAACCCATATTTTATTTCCAAAGACAGTGGCTGCAGCTCCATTGAAAAGGAAGGCATAAATAACGCCAGGTAGCCATATTGAATCTGCTGTACCCATATAAACTTTCAGAAGTCTTTGAGACGAAATCGATCTCGTCTCTGTGCATCTCTCACAAGTCACCACAGCATCAGCAGCTGCGACTTCCTTATCAT